TGTTAATTCGTTTTTTTTTTTTTTTTTTTTCAAATTATTGTTCAGATTCAGTGACTAATTTTGACTCCTTTTCATTTATTCATCAACAGAAATGCTGGCGAGAATACTAAGAATTTCTATGAATAACAAAAAATTACTGGCTAATAAGCTTGAAAGCACTAACCACTTTGCTGCTGTCAAAGCCCATTGATAGTGCTGCAGTAACTGGACGCGTTGAATCGAGGGTCTTTGTTAGATTCACTAGCGCACTAAAAAAATTAGAAAAATGATGACTTGTGTGCTCGGCCTTCTTTCCTCCTGCAGCTATTAGCAAAGTGTGCCGATGGAAAACTAATCCATCTATGATTCTTTTCAGCGGTAACTTCGTACAGACATATGCAGGAAGTCAAAATCTCATGAGTCTACTTGTAAGCAACCTTCAGAAGAGGGAGCTGTTGAAGTGCTGCCTGCGAGTGGTTGCTACTGACGTTTGCTACCACTCGGGTTACTTTCTGGGAGCTCCCTGCTTCTCATCAAGAACGAAATACGGAGGAAGTTTTGACTTTTTATGCGTTTTTTGCACCTACGCAACGCAAAAACGCATATTGTAGAAGGGCTGTCTGTGTGTGTCTGCATGTTCGTCTGTACCGATTTTTCATCTTGAGACCTAGAAAGGTTACGGGGCTGAAAGTTTGGGAACTTAAGCCACATTCATGTATGGGACCTCATTCCCAAAATGGGCGCTCTTATCTATGTGGTACCCAGTTATTTGCTCGTGAAAATTTTTTGCCGGAGAGCTGCTAACCTGGAAAGCAGGAAAGCTAGGAAGCTGGAATTTTAAGGGGATGTTTCCTAACAGTCCTGGCGGCCAGCTCATTTTGTTTAGCTAAAAGCATCTGCCGGAAAAATCAGTGCCGTTAACAACAAAAACCAGCGGGGAACTAAGCAAAAAAAGCATCTTCGCATCGACAGTCGTTACGCTGGCCGACTAGTGCATTCGGAACATTCGTTTATCCACTGGTTAGCTACAACACATAGCGCGGTTGTCCCTTGGAGCGAAATTTATACCTAAAATACGCTTCCGATTCAAGCGCGTTTGCTGGCTCATTGGCTAATGACCACATGATTGTGGACGGATGGTTCCGGTCACGATCAATCAATTCTCGGATCATCGAGCCATGCAACAATTCCAGTTGTTTTGTGTAGACACTGCAATAGAGTAGTGTGGGCAAAAATGCAAAACTGACAAAAAACGCAATAATAAGTGTTGGAAATGAAAACGGCGACAAAGTTATTGTGAAGAGGAAGTGTTGCGTAAAAGCCATAAACTAAATCTCCGTTGCGCAGAAGGTGCGAAATAAATATGAAGGGAAGCCGATTCAAAACGTTGAAATTGTTCGCACATATCATTGAAAAAAAAAGATGGCGTGTCCAAACCGTTATTCCGTTAAATCGAAAAATGAAAACAAAACTACAATCCCAAACACAGTTACTGTTTGCCCGTTAAAAAAGGTACAATTCCCGGACAAAATTTCCTTGTTTAAATATGTGTACAGTAAAATGGTTGGAAAATCACTTATTTTAAGGTAAAAGTAAACTTGCAGCCTGTGTTTCATCCCTTAGTTGTAAACACAGACAGAGCGTCTGATCCGAGTTGGAGTGGGAGTCATCGGTAGAGACTCCTATTGGCCATGTATGAAAATGACAAATAAGCATGGTAATGGGAATAGAAGAGGAGAATAGAGAACAGACAAGAAGCCCTTCTCATTTAACTTTTGATCTTCCAACAATAGATCCATCCGCTCATTGACGCTACCTGCCCTTAATTTCAGAATTTATAGGTTTTTGTAATGGCACTACTTTTACTGCACATGAGTTTGGAAGAACCAGATACAAGCCAAAAGAGTGACCTCGCCACGCCGTTTTTTTTTTGCAGTTAAAGCCAGTCGTCGAAATGAAACTTTTAAACTAACACCAAGCCAACAGCTGGTGTTTCCGAGATGACAGCGATGCCACGCCGATCAGCTTCATACGCCATTTCCTCACTGTACGGATAGTGCGACGTTCGATAACAGTTACCGCTCATCCACTCCAGCATATTCAAATCCTTAGTCATCACCACCGGATTGTATCCTCGACCATGTAACTGCAAACCTGACCAGTAACAATATCTCATAAGCAGAATCTTGAATTTCTTCATACAATATCAAATTTACTTGTGAATGTCCCACCGTCAGTTTGCTTTTAAGCAACTTTGAAGAAAGAAGCTATTGATGGTTTTGCATGCAGGTGATTGCTGGTGGCACATGCCCCTATTTAAGCTTTTTAAAGCAATTTTTGGCCGAATAACACCTATTTTCCAAAATCCTCTGTCTTCCCATGCACTGGCCTTCTTAGAAACACTTCTTTTTTGCTTTTTGACACATTGCCTTAGTTGATTTTGCATCGCTTGGATGAATTTCTCGCATTTTTATCTCCCAAAAGTAATCGATTGAGGAATCAAAACAGATGTCTGCACTGCCATCATGCCAATCAGTACAGGGTTTAGCGTTGGTCAAAGCAACAAGCAGAGCTACAAGCTGCTTAGCTGGAGGACCGCACTATGCGAATTGCAGCTGATCAAATTATGTCCTACTCAAGCGGTTTTGATTCATTGAAGTAAAAAAAGCTCTTTTTTCTTTTTTTGGCCTCTTTAATCTCCCCAGGATTTAGTCTCTGTTTCAGCTTATTACGCGGTTCTTCAATAGTTATAGATGAAAAATGATCTGTTGGATACAAACCTCAAAATCCTCATGCATCCCGAAACCATGGCAGTAGAATGGCTTTCCATTGATGAAAATTTGATCGTCGGTGAAATTAACGGTACGAAAGCCGAATTGCAAACGGTACACATCGATTAATATGCCTGCGATCGATAGCTGTGCCTAAAGCTGTAAGTGATCCTAACATCTTTCATTCCGAATTCCTTTCTGAGACAATGAATTTTAATAAACATTTTTGCAAGCTATAAATTTACTTCGCCAAGAAATTTGGGAGCGGAATTTGCAACTATTTATCGTGTTAGCAATGCTGGTACTGCCAGTTCTCTGCTGTCAGTGTAGGAGATGGGGTATAGCTGTAAATCAAAAACATCGGACTCTGGGTATATAAATATTCGAATGACTCGAGGAAATAATCATATGCCCGAGAGCTCAAAAATGGAAATTTTTGTTACGAACAAATCTGTTCGGTGCAAATTATTTGGATCGGCAGGAAATCGAGCCTCCCACTTTCACTCCGGACTTTAGTGAAGCGATAATTATTAAACCACTGGCTCTAGAGTATCTCACTGCAGTTAGAGCATTTATATCTATTTATATGCATACAACACTAACAAAAGGCAGCGAACACTACTACTTTTTGCCGGTTTTTCGCGATGTTTGCGATAATTCTGGCTATGGAAATGACAGAATAAGAGATAAGGGATTGGTCTAAAGCACAGGTAGGCAACTGGCGACCCGTGGGTCGGACCCGCCCCGCGACTGGTTCTAATCCGGCCTGCGGAAGGAATCGGGATCTGGTGCCTAACTAAACGAGTGGGGGGTTTGTACTCCGCTATGCCACTGCACTCTCATGAAAATAAATAAGTAGCGGCGCGCACCAGGGCAGCCGGTACAATCATGCGTTTTGCAAACTGCCGTCCACAAAAGTTTGCCTGCTAAAGACTTTCACTACTTGCACCTTGTTCTGTGCAAAAATAATTGAAATCTTGTCTATTCCCCTAGTTGCGAATTTTACCGGTACGTAAAAGCTAATTTGAAACTTTGTACAGTGAACATCCTTCCAAAATCTCAACTTCCTATTTTTATGGCTCTCGAGTGATTTTCACGTCAGAACTTTTATGGGGTTGGACGTGAGACCCGGCACATTTAGGAACTAAATTTGAGTTTGTGAGGCTCCTACATAAGCAAAAAACATCCTCCTGAAAGTTTTAACCTTCTAGCTTTTATGGTTCCCGAAATAATAACTTCCCCGTCAAAATTTTCACGGGGCCGTACTTGATACCCCGGGGTGCAAGAAAGCTGATTTTATAATTTGCGAGGTTGTAAGTAGGCAAGGGTCATTACCCTAATGATTTAGTTACTTGGCTTTCATGGTCCCGCAGATAATTTTCCTCGCCAAAACTTTAGGGGGTCGTACTTGGCTTTCATGGTCCCGCAGATAATTTTCCTCGCCAAAACTTTTAGGGGGTCGTACGCAATACCCAGACTTAGGGTAAGTTTGAATTTGAAATTGGGCAGGAGATATCACTGCAAAATTTCAAATTCCAAGCTTTTATGGTTCTCGAGATAATTTCACCACCAAAATTTTCATCGGGCCGTCTGTGATATCCGAGTGCACGGGAGAGCCGAATTTATACTTGCGAGGTCGCACTTGGGCAAGAATTAGTACCTCAAAAGTTCAGCTTCTTGGTGTAAAATATGCTGCGAATATTATAAAATTATATAATATTTTCTTTTTTTTCTTCCCCCCTTTTAT